GCACTGGGCCTTCGGTGGAGCTCCCTATGGAGCCACGAAACGTGTGAGGGGTGTGCCGAATTGGGTGTGGGTGACGCATGCGGGCGCGGGCACTGGGGCCTTCGGTGGAGCTCCCTATGGGTGTGCGAAATGGGTGTGGGGTGACGCATGCGGGCGCGGGCACTGGGGCCTATCGGTGGAAGCTCCCTATGGAGCCACGAAGCGTGTGAGGGTGTGCCGAATGGTGTGGGTGACGCATGCGGGCGGCAGCACTGGGGCCTTCGGTGGAGCCCCCTATGGAGCCACGAAACGTGTGAGGGGTGTGCCGAAATGGGTGTGGGTGACGCATGCGGGCGCGGGCACTGGGGCCTTCGGTGGAGCTCCCTATGGAGCCACGAAACGTGTGAGGGGTGTGCCGAAATGGGTGTGGGTGACGCATGCGGGCGCGGGCACTGGGGCCTTCGGTGGAGCTCCCTATGGAGCCACGAAACGTGTGAGGGGTGTGCCGAAATGGGTGTGGGTGACGCATGCGGGCGCGGGCACTGGGGCCTTCGGTGGAGCTCCCTATGGAGCCACGAAACGGTGTACTGGGTGGGTGAAGAGGAGAGGAGGAGAGGAGGGGAGGAGAGGAGGAGAGGAGAGGAGAGAAGAGGCGGCGGAGGAGGAGAGGAGGAAGGAAACGCGGGGCACCGTCTCTTCAAAACGAGGACCCAACACCACAGGATGGTTGGGAAAAACACATGCTCCCGAGCCAGAAAACTGCGGCCGAGCGGGAGGAGGGAGAAGGGGGCGAGAAGGAGGCAGGTGCACGCCGAAAGGGAATCCTCCCGTTTCAGCTCCGCCCAAACAGAACTAAGCATCCTTTGTCGTCCAGTGTTCCTGTGTGGTGGTTCGCATTGTTTCGTTGATGGCCACAGAATCGCATCGTATGCCAAGTCCGACGGTAGCTCCAATATCCAGCTATCGTCGGTCAGACTCCCCACATTTGTATGGAAAGCTGTCGAAAGTCCCCATCTGGTGGTGCATTGCCTTCCCACTTCGCACCTGCATGCTGCGTCGTAGATGTCCCGCTGTGATTATGTGTAGTCGTGTCCTCAGTGGGTATCGTGGGAATCTCCTGCAAGGCCTGATGCGCAAGAAATAATTCCTGAGGGGCAGCTCCTGGAGTAGTGGGCAAGAAACAATTCCTGAGGGGAGAACTTCAGGAAGCCCACGCGAGCCCATGATACGGCTCAAGACGGCGCCGAGAGCGCTCCAAGACGGCCCCACAAGCACCCTTCTCGGTTTTCAGACGGACGGCGGGTGGTGGGGGGCGCTCATCCAGTTCTGCAGTGTGCATAGAAGAGACCGTTCTAATCAATACCAGCGGCAGCTCAGCCAGGGCACAGCTCACGAGGCCCCCAAGATGCACCCAAAATGCTTTTAGAGCACCTCCATGCGGCCCCCAAGAGACAAGCACCGTCAAAAGTCCGCAAGTGCTCCGTAATTTTAGCGTGCTACCCTCCCCCAAAATCCATGGTCTCCTCACGATGCTCCGGCAGATCCCAGGACATCTCCAAGAGACGCGACCGCAGCCTCTGCGCAGGTCTCATTCCCCGTGGACGTCCAAGACGAACAAAGCGCAACGATGCCCCTCAACGGTCTTTCAAAAGTCCCAGACCCAGGACGCTACAATAGAGGAGTCGGCGGATACGGCGTAAGCCCGATGGCCCATCACCAAACGCATAACCATTACATGCGAATGCCATACGCGTAGTCATAACACATGTGCGCCGGCAGAGACAGCAAGGAACCCACACGGCATGGGACCCAAGTCGTGTGCGGCGAGAATGCATTCTTGGGGCGGCTTCTGTAGGCCTGGGACCGTTCGTCGTCAAACGTCCATGCATTCAGTGCCAAGCAGAACGTGGAAGCACGTGGCAACAACTCGGAGCAAGGAGCGGCACGTGGAAACAAACGTGTGGGACCGAGTGACAGCAAGGGTAAACAACTAGGAGCAAGTGGAAACTCGCCGGCCCACAGGCCAGAGGCGAGCTATGTAAGAATGTAAGAATGGTTCTAGTTCGCGCGCGCGTGGCGGCCCCTGGGGGTCCGCGGACGACAAGTGCCCCCGCAAGGTCGGATCAGAGATGCCGGAACTCTCGGGCGCGGCCTCGGGACCCCCCCGAGCGCCCCAATGAGGCGCCAAAAGGGTGCCCACGTTTGTCCCAAGACGGCCCCCAAAGCGCCCAAGACGCTCCAGGATGGTTCCAAGAGGACTTCGAAAGGCCCCGAAGAAGCAAACATCATTGATCTTGCCCAGGTTTTCGAACGATTTTGGCGGTACAAGGCTTTCCGAGGCCAGCTACGCACTGATGCGCCACCCCAAAATATGAGGTTACTCCAGGGCACCAAAGCAAGTCGGGGCCAGCGAGGCAGTTAAACAAAACTGGGAGCAGTGACGCATCAACGTGCCATCAAGCCAGATCCTCTCACGCCAGGGCATCTGTTCATCAGTGATACAAGAGCTCCTCAGTATGAAGTCTGCTTGGGGAAACACCCAGGGTCCAATAATCCTCATTCTGCGAGGCGCGTGCACGTGCCGAGCAGGAGTGAGTGGGAGAGCCGTCGGATACCAGGCCGAGTGAGCAGGAGAGCCCACGTTGGATGCGACGGCCATTCGCAAGTGGAAGAATTTTGGGGTGGCGACATGGCGTCCAGCATCGCAACATGATGATCGGCGATGTGACAGCCTCGCTCGCTGCTGGAACCAGAGCCGTCCTGGGGCTGGCGCGGCCAGGCGCATCAAAGTGCCCCTGAGTCAACATGGCTACGGAAGGGAGGCGGGATGGGGGAGGGTGGAGATAGGGAGAGGGGTGGGGGGCGCAGGAAGGAGAAGTGCAGGGGGGAATTCCCCGCTCTTTCTCTCCCCTCCCCATCTTTCCCTTCCCCCCTCGCTCGCCCAGGGCGTCCTTCGAGCTGTTGGAGCTGCTGGAGCTGTTGGCCGAGTTCAGCACGTCGGAAGGCAACAGATCCAGCTCCGGAGGGCAATCGAACGGCTCGGGCTCCCTGACGCAAACGCCGTGCACCTGGCAGCACCAGTCCTCGGGCAGGTGGCCCGGGTGAGAGGGGACAGCTCTGGCAGCCCCGAGCGGCCGCCGACAAAATGCCCCCCGTTGTCAATCATGCGTCGGAGCGTGCGCTCAAACCAATGCTCGCCATCGCTCGGACGTCCATTCCCTGTGCTTCTTTCGGTTTTGTGCGTGGTTTTTTCTCCAGATGATCAAGCATGCTCCTCGATGGTCCTCGCCGAAGGAGAAATGCACACGTCCGAGCGATGCCAGGGGGTGGGAGGGGATTGCTCCAGCAGCTCAGAACGGCCGCCGACAGTGCCCCCCGTTGTCCATCGTGCGTCGGAGCGTGCGCGCAAACCAGTGCCGCGCTGTGTGGGCCCATGCCAGATGGCGCAAGGGGGACCGGGCAGATGCGCTGTGCGTGCATGCCCTGTGGCCGGCCGGCCATGTGGGATGGGCTGAAGGGTCTCGTTGCCGAGCTCGCCGCTCTGTTGCGCTCCCTGCCCACAAGCCCCGCTCGTTCTGGCTGCCTAACCGCATCCGCTCTGGCTCACGCTGTTGGCACGAAACTGGTGGTTTCTGAACGAATGCCTGTGCGCTGATAAAACGATGAGTGCTCTGACTTCTGCTGCAATGCCTTGATCATGTAATTTCATCTTGCTCTGGTTGCCGCCACTGCCACCTGCCAGCCCCCGAGTAGTCCCTGCTAGGCCCCGCTGGCCCCTGACTCGCCCCTGACTCGCCCCGCTGGCCATCCCTTTCGCCCCTGGTGGCGCAGAGCTCGACTACCGCCTCTCGCACCCACCGGCCCACGACGAGTGCCACTGGCCCTGGGTGGCGCAAGCGCCAGTTGTCACCACTTGCACCGGCTAGCCACTGGCCATCGCTCGAACGTTCATTTCCTGTGTTTTTTTCGGTTTCGTGCGTGGTTTTCGCGAAATGATCAAGGATGCTCCTCGATGTTTCGCGAAATGATCAAGGATGCTCCTCGATGGTCCTCGCCGAAAGATACATGCACCCGTCCGAGCGATGCCAAGGCCACTGGCTGGCCCGACGGGCCCCGAGGAGAGGCCCAGCCGCCGAATGCCGCCGCAAGCTCGAGTGCTCGACCCCGGGCAGACCCTGCTGGCTCTGCTCACGCCCAGAGGAGGAGGAGGAGGAGGAGGAGGAGGAGGAGGAGGAGGAGGAGGAGGAGGAGGAGGAGGGGGAGGAGGAGGAGGAGGAGGAGGAGGAGGAGGAGGAGGAGGAGGAGGAGGAGAGGAGGAGGAGAAGGAGGAGGAGGTGGCCTGAGCCACCTGCAAGACCCTTCGTGGCACCAGCGGCGGTTGCCGCCACTAGGCCCTGCTCGCTCGTGGCCTAGCCCAACGGGCCCCAGCAGCCCTGGATGGCACTGGCGCTGGCTGCCGCCGGGAGCCACTTCCTTCCCCCAGTCAGTCCCGCTGGTTTTCGCGGGCGCGAGCGCCGAATGCTGCCACTAGCCCCACCAACTCTGGTTTGCGCAAGCGCTGGTTACTGTCGCTTGCCCAGTCTGGCCTCCGGCTAGCTGGCTAGCTCCTGACTGCCTCCACCAGCGCCGAGTGATGCAAGCGCTGCTTGCCACCACTAGCTCCTACTAGTCCCTGGCTCCCCACATACTCCGGAGACGCCGGTTGCTTCGACCCTGGCTAGTCCCAATAGCTCTCCTCTGGCCGTGGGTGGCAAACGGAGATTTCCCCCCACCAGCCTTTGCCAGCACGAAGGATTGCAAAAAAAACAGGGTGTTTTTTGCAATCCTGGGTTTTTTTGCAATCCTGTTTTTTTTTGCAATCCTTTTTTTTTTTTTTGCAATTCTGGGTTTTTTTGCAATAGGTCGCCCCAGATACGCCCTCGCATCGCCCCAGTGGCGAATGCGCCAGTCGCCTCGACCAACGTCCACTGGCCTCCGCCTGGCCCCCGTCCCAGGGGCCTTGGATGAAGCAAGCGCCGAATGCCTCCACCTGACCAAAGGATTGCAAAAAAAACCGAAGGATTGCAACGAAGGATTGCAATCTAGGGTTTTTTTGCAATCCAGGGTTTTTTTGCAATCCTTCGGTTTTTTTGCAATCCAGGGTTTTTTTGCAATCCTTCGTCCGCAGCCCTGGGTGGTGCAGCCGCTGGCTGCCGCCGCGAGCCCCAGCGATGCCCTGACGACTCTCACTAACCCTGCTGGCCCAGGGTGGTGCAAATGCCACTTGCCGCCGCTCACTCCTATAGTCGGGGCGTTGACCTAAGAAACCCTAAATTAGGAACGAGGCCTCATTTTTCCATGAGTTAAACTTCGATTTCCCTTCGAAAACCAACGGAAAACAGAAGGCAAACTGTGAAGCAATCAAGGAACACGGAGCCCCTCCCAAACGAAAAGGGTTCCTTCTTCAGGGCCCCGACTGTACTGGACCTTGCCCTTCCTCACCGAGTCCATTCTGGGGATCCACGCGCCGGTGTCACAAATACCGGCGGCAACAACATCTTGCGACAGAAGGGGGCCCCACATGTGAGCTCACACGGAGGTGCGCCTCAAAGAGAGCTCCAGGTCCACGTTCCCTCGCGAGAGGGCCGGGACGAGGTAGTCGAAGAACGGGAGAAGGATACAGCAAGTACAGGACGAGGCGTCACCATGTCTACCTGTTCGTGTATGCAATCGAAGGCCAACGCGGCAAGGCCTACGGGCGACGGGGAGCAGGAGCGGGTTGAGCAGCGGTGGTGGTGTTCCTGGTCAGACCACGGACGCGCGGGATGGGGGAGGTAAAAGTGGGAGGGCGAAGCGCGAAGCGAAGGAGGGGCGGTGGCAGGATGGATGGGTGGAAGGATGGATGGGAGAGTGAAGAGGCCCTGGGACACAAAAATAAATAGACACAAATAACAGGATTCATATGTTCCCATATTTTCTGGGTTTTTGTCTTCCCCCCCACTTCCCATATTTTCCTACATCTCTGGGAAATCGACGATTACTTGTGTCTGTGTGATTCTTCTCCTCCTGAGAGAGGAAGAGTGGGAGGGCCACGCACACGCTTGGCTTAGCAGCGGCGGGTATTCTGATCCAAGCGCCGGCGACGTGCGAGACAAATCCGCGCCTCCACTTCATCGCGAGGCCTGGGGGAGCAAACGAGGGAGGTGGAAGTCGAGGGCAGAGGGGAAGGCGGGAGAATAATAGTAAGGAAGAGGAGATGGACGGAGGGATCGAAGAGTTGGTGGAGATGAAGATGAGTGGAAGGGGGAGAACGCAAGACGGGAGAGGAGGGAGGGGAGAAATATTGGGAGTTGAGGGAGGTGGAAGGGGGAGGCATAACAGAAATTCAGAGACTGGCAGGGCATGGACCTGGCGCGACGCCAATTAGGGAAACGCTTCCGGAGCGGCATTTCTTGGCGTTGCTAAGTATTGCTTGGCCTAAGTAAGAGTTTCTTGGCACTGCTTGGCGTTGCCTGGCACTGCTTGGCATTGCTTGGCATTGCTTGACGCTGCTTGGCGCTGCTTTGCGTTGTTTTGCGTTGCTCGTCATTGCTTGACGTTGCTGGGCACTGCTTGGCGTTGCTTAGCGTTGCTTGGCGTTGCTTGGCGTTGCTTGGCATTGCTTCGCGTTGCTTGGCGTTGCTTGGCATTGCTTGGCATTGGTCGGTATGCCTTGGTCGAGGGACACCGCTGCCAAGAAGCACCACCAAACAACCCCGATGAACGCCACTGCAAAGAAACAAGACCAGGCAACCTTTTGGACGCCCGAAATGGGTACCGAAAGAATGGGTACAATGCCCAACAGCAAATGTTGTCCCAAACCAACAGCGGCCGCTGTTGGGCAGGCGGCCTCCTGTCTCGAATGGACACAGGCCGCGGCGGCGTGGACAGCGAGCCCTGTTCAGAATGAACAAGATCCGCTGTTGGGCATTGTACCCATTCTTTCGGTACCCATTTCGTGCGTGCAGAAACCTCGAGGAACGCCGGCGCAAGAAAACAAGACCGCGGATCCCCGTGAACCCCCCTCCCTCCTCTTCCTCGCCCTCTTCCTCCTCCTTCCCCTTTCTTCTTGTCTCCTCCCTGCGCTGCAGCGCTGCCGCCCTGCGCGCGCCCGCCCGCGAAGGCGGCCGGGCGCGGCCATCAGAAGCTTGCGGCTGCCCCCGGGGAGGGGCCTCTTAAAACCAAACGGAAGCCGGGGAACCTGGCGACGACCGCGTCCAGTACCCACCAGCTTCTTCACAAACAAATGAACGCCCCCGGGTAAAGCCTAAGTGGGGGAACTCCCTGCGGTTCAACTTCTTCCAGGATGTCCTTGTGCGCCGGCCTCCACTGAGACATGTTCAGCTCGTCCTGGCCGTAGCAGTCGTACAGCGCTGGGCTGGTTGTGGGACATCCCCTGCTCTGGTGCACGCAACACCATGCCTCGAGCAAGCGTCATGGGGCAGGAGCAAGCAATCTCGAGCAGAGAGTACTCGCAAGCACACACACACATCGATCTTGCCATATGATCAGACTTATCTCCTGTTAAAGCTCCTCGTTACCCTCGCAAGCCTCTGCGACATCAGCACCTCACATGTCATCTCTTATCGTCTCACGCCTGCGCCGCCGCCCTGACGACCACCAAGCCGAGAATCCACACTGCATCTCCGATCAGAGTTTCTCACAAAGTCAACTGCCACAGGCGGTGTTCGAGTTAGAGAAGTATGAGGCAACGACGAAGAAGGAGGCAGGGAGGCGGGGCGCAACACCATTTTTCGATCTCATATGCCAAACGCAAGATCCCGACATTCTGCGGTCGGCGTGCGCGAGCAGAGATGGCCGAAAGTCCGCAAAGGCGATAGCAAGCATTTCCGAGTACGTGTACCGACTTTTGAGAAGTCTTAAGCTCAGCAAGAGCCCCTGAGAATTGCACCCCCGAAGGGTCTTAGTGGCAGAGGCTTGTTACCCGTACAACAGGGGTGAGACAAATCATGTCGTGAACAACACCTCTGTCTCTAGGAGCCTCTAGGAAGCACCAGCTCGGCATGGCTGATAATACTTGCCCTGGGCCTTAACTCCCATGGCGTCAACAGCCAACACAGAAAACAAACTCTGATCCTCCTCCCCCTGCCACTCCCGTCTTTTGTGCTCCCAGCCACAAAACGGTCGGTCTGGGCCCGCGCGCATCACTCCCTCCCAGGCGCCACCTGGATCGTTCTTCGAAACGTAACTAGCGGTGGCGGCCGGGGAGACCCCACTATACTGTTTGCAGATTTGCAGAAAACCACTCGAGGTACGCACCGTCAATTTCTCGAGTTTCTTGTCCTCATCGTCTCGAACTCTGCTCGTTTCTGTTCGTTTCTGGCCCCGGCGGCCACGAGGCGCCAGGAGGCAAACGAACATCGGGAGCGAGCCGGAGCGAGCCTCCAACTCCACCCCGATCCACAGCCGACGAGACGAACACCCACGAGGGGTACCAAGCCCGCGGCCGCTGGCTTGGTAGGGGGGGTCCTTTGGGGGGATACCAGGCCGGCGGTGTACCAGGCCGGCGGCCGCTGGCTTGGTATCTGGCTGGGCAGGGTCAACGCCAGAGACGATACCAAGTCGGCGGCGGGAGTACAGTATCCACGGCGTCTGCCTCTCCCCTGCGGCTTTCGCATCGGTGCGGCAGCCCACACGCCGCACTCCGCCGCGCGCCGGCCCGCCCGCGGGGCGCCGGCGAGCGCGCCGGGCCCGGCCGCTCACCTGCGGCGGCGGCGGTCCTCGAGCGCGATGTCGCGGCTGCTGCGGAACGGGCTGCTCTGGGCGCGGCTCTGCGGGGGGGCCCGCGGGGGGACGTTCCCCGCCTTCAGCTCCGCCTGCGGGGGGGGGAGGGGGTGGGGGTGCGGAGGAGGAAGGGGGAGGGGGGGGGGGAGGGAGGTGGGGGTGCGGAGGAGGAGGAAGGGGGGGAAGTGGAGGGGGGGGGGGGGTGGAAGTGGGGAGGAGAGAGAGAGGATCGGGGCCCTGTCCGCGCCGAGGCCCAGGGCCCCACGGGGGCGGCCTCCCTCGGACTTCGCCCCCGGCGCAGCCAGGGGTCCCTCAGACTTCGCCCATGGCGCAGCCAACGGTTTGCCAGAATCGCGGTCTCCGCACCCTGCCTGCTGCTGCCCCGCCTCTCTTGGGATCTCCTCCTCCACCTCCTCCTCCTCCTCCTCCTCCTCCTCCTCCTCCTCCATCCCTCTTCCTAGTAAGCAACTCTTCCCTGTCGTACCACCAGACGTGTCGCTAGGGCGGGCAAGGCGTTTCGCCTGAGACTGCCCCACCGTGAATCAAGACATCTTCAACAATGACACGGACGGAGGGCGATCCGAGTGCAGAATGAAGACCTCGCCTTGGTGCCACGCACACTCCATGGAGGAGGTTTGGGGACAACTGGACTTCAAGCTGAAGCTCTCGCCGTGGCGCCGCGCGCTCTCGCCTTCAAACCTTCGAGCAGTCCCACGGATGGAGGGCGGGTGCTTTTCAGAGCGTGGCTCTCGCCCCGGCGCCGCGCACACTCGTCTGGACCACAGCCGGCACCGATGCGGATGGAACGCGCGGCTCTTTTCATAAGCTGGCACCCTCGCCTGGGACTTGGTGCGGCCCGTGCCGCTGCAGACCCGAGCTGGTGCAGCAGTCGTGCGGACGGATGGCGGCTCCTTTTCTGCGTGGGGCTCTCGGTTGAGACTTTGTTTGACTTTACAGTCGGGGCCTTGACCTAAGGAACCCAAAATAAGGAACGATGCCCCCTTTTTTTTCCATAAGTTAAACTTCGATTTCCGATCGAAAACAGGAGGAAAACCTGAGGCAAGCTGCGAAACACTTAAGGAACGCGGAGCCCCTCCCCAACGAAAAGGGTTCCTTCTTCAGGGCCCCGACTGTAATCATGCGGACGGATGGCGGCTCCTTTTCTGCGCGGGGCTCTCGGTTGAGACTTCGTTTGGCTTTCTGGTCCGAACGTGTGCAACTGCTGCAGGTGGAGGGCGGCTCCTTTTCAAGGCGAGGCTGTCGCTGGGCATTTCTGAAGGGGCCCAAGGACACACAAATAAACACATTCCCCATATTTTCATATATTTTTGGGGTTTTCGTCTTCCCCCTCACTTTCAATTTTTTCCCATCTTTTCTGGGGAATCGACGATTAATTGTGTCTGTGAGTTTTTTCCTCTCCTGAATTTCCTTGAGCTGCATGGCCCAACCTTGCCGCATTCTCTATGGCTCGGCAGATGGAGGGCAACTTCTTTCAAAACGGAGCTCCCGCCTGCACTGCGCGCCCACGGGGCGCTCGTCTCTCATGAGGGGGCGCCTCGCGCAGGGAAGCGTCCGCCGAGCCTGTCAGCGCGCGTGGAAGAGATCTGCGCTGGTCGTGGGCGGCGCTGTTCGAGTCGACGTTTTTACTCCCTTCCTGGTAGCCGAGCTCGCCAACCCGTGTTGGGCAATCATCCGGCCAGCTTGGCTCTCTTCCAGCAACCTGCGCTCAGGACGCCCAAGATGGCCCCACGACGGCTCAAGAGGCCACCAATACTGCCCAAGAGGGCCCCAAGAGGAGCCGCTCATGGGTCCAAAGCGGCAAGCGCCGTTGATTTTATAGTGCATATGAACAGTACTCGCGCTTCGTTTATTTTTTCTGTCTTCTAACACTCCAACACGGCCAAAGAGGTTCCAATATTGTTGCCCCAAGACGGCCCGAGGAGCTCCCAAAGAGGGCCTAAGATGGCACAGGAGGTCCCCAAGACGGCCCAAGAAGGTCCCCAGAAGGGGGCGCACGGACTGACATTTCGAGCCCTCCGTCCCAAGATGACCCCCGAGACAGCCAGCAAGCGTCCAAGAAACCCCGACGAGACGCCAAGAGGCAAGAACCCTCCAAGAGGCCCACTCGAGCCCTCCAAGAGGCCGCCCAAGACACCCGTATATGCATTCAAGAAGCCTTTGGTTCACGATCTGGGCACGGTGGCCACTAGATCTGCCGCCCCGTTGATTTATCACAGGGGTGCCCAGCGTGCTAGACTCTGCCGCTATTGGTGTCAGTTCCTTTCCAAGAGAACTCCCCCTGGGGCTTCGGCCCAGAGCGCCGGCCACTCGGAAGACCGCACAATCCGACGAGAAATTGCTAAATCGCCTCCAAGACAACCAAGATGGCCCAATATGGCCCCCAAGACAACGAAGATGGCCCCAATATGCGTCAAGATGCCTGGAAACGGCCCGAGAGGCCCCCAACAAAACTCCCAAGACGGCTCAAGAGGCCGCATGCAGGAAGGCCAGAAGAGGCACAACTTATCGATTTGCCTTAACATGTTGGAAGGGTTTTTAATATTGGTTACAATTCGGCCTTCCGACGGCCCGAAACGGCCCGAGATGCCCCCAAGGTCGCCTCAAAATCGCTCAAGATGCCTCCAAGATGGCCCTATGACGGCCCAAGAGGCGCCCAACACGCTTAAAATGGTTCGCAAAACGGCCCTACATTGGCTCAAGAGGGCCCCAAGTCGTTTCAGAGATGCTCCCAAAACGGCCCCCGACGGGCCAGGAACACCTTAAGAAGTTCCCAAGAAACTCCAACAGGCCCCCAAGAGGCCCAAGGGGGCCCCGAATAAGCCCTCAGGAAGCTCCCAAGAAGCCCCAAGAGTGCCCCAAGAGACTCCCAAGAGTTTTCCTCCTCCTCTTCCTCCTCCTCCTCCTAGTCCTCTTCCTCCTCTTTCTCCTCCTCCTCCTCCTCCTCCTCCTCCTCCTCCTCCTCTTCCTCCTCCTCCTCCTCCTCCTCCTCCTCCTCCTCCTCCTCCTCCTCCTCCTCCTCCTCCTCCTCCTCCCCTCTTCCTGCAAGCCCCGCCCATCGCAGACGCGCGCCCGACGCGCGCCCTGAGCTCGTGGCCGACCGACAGGACCCAGTAGGGCAATGCGAATACACAATGGAACAACGCGACGTGCTGGCTACGCCGCCGCAGCGCCGGCTACGCCGGCCACCTCCGCCCGCAGCTCGGCGGCCCGGGCAGCGCGGCCCTCGCCGAAGGCGGCCCGCAGCTGCCGCGCCTTTACACGGTGCAGAGCGACGCTGAACTCAGCGCCCCAACGCTGTGCCAGAGTGCTGGCCACTGCCGCGGCGCGCCCCGTCCGCCAGCTCTGTTTGGCCCCGCGCGAGCTGGCGGAGGTGGCGCAGCGCACCTTTGCCGCGCTGGCCCCCTGTTTCAAGGGCAAGCGGCAGCAGCGGCCAGGGGCAGCGGCCCTCGGGGTGCCGCCGCCGCTCGTCGGCCTTGGCCGCGGCGTTGACCGCGCCCTCGTGCTGGGACGCGGCGGCCAGTCCGTCGGCGTCCCCGGGCACGGCATGCCAGATTGTCGCGTCGACAAAGACGCGCGGACAGCCGGCACGCTGTACCTCGAGGTCGAGGGTCGCCTCCTCGCGCCGGGCCTCCTGAGGTTCGCCTCAGACGGCGCAGGTGCCCGGCTGCTGGTAGGCCGTGCCGGCCGTGTCGCACGGGCAGCAGCGCCACGCCCACCGGTCCCACGCGGGAGCGGAGACCTAGCGACCGCGTAAAAACTACACTCAGTGCGAATGCGCTTCCACACGTCCTCGACATCCTTGCTGCGGGCTTCGACGCCCCCGCGGCAAGGACATCGAAAGGCGTGGCGTGCCTTACTGCAGAGCGGTTCGCCGCAGAAGCGGCCGGCGCGCGGGCTGGTGCGCGTCTGGTTGCTGCAGCAAGCCCCTGGCAGCGCGAGGTCCTGGCCAAGGAGCTCGCGGGCGGTGCTGCAATGGTTCCCGCGGCGAGGCCAGCTGCCAACCTCCAGCGTGCGGCCCCCCGCAGGAAGCCAGCCTCGCCCGGAACTCGCTGGCGCTGGTGCTCCGCGGCTCCGCTGGGATAAAAAATTCTTCTGGCCCAGCCGCCGCGGGAGCTCCTCCTTCACCTTGGTGCGAGGTTGTTGGGCGAGGTCAGACCAAGCGGGGAAGGGGCCCGCTCCGGCCGCCATGGGGCTGCTCGGCCTCCTCCCAATCGCCCAGAGCGGCCAAACCCGTGCGGGCGCGCACCCCTGAGGCTTTGTGCCCAGGAGCCGACCCACGCCGCCGGCGCGAGTTGCTCCTCCTCCTCCTCCTCCTCCTCCTCCTCCTCCTCCTCTTCCTCCTCCCTCTCCTGATCCTCCCCCTTGTCCTCCCCCGGGTGTTCCCGCAAGAGTTTCCAGAGCGGCTGGGGGAACACATACTCCTGTAGCTAGGCAAAGCTGGGGCCCAACGTTTAGCCACAGAGGCGCTTCCCAGAAGGCAGGGGGCGGCGGTGATTCGCCGTAGGCGTCTTCGATCCGCCGCCCCCTGTGGTGTTGCCAACGGCTAAATGTTGCATGGTTTTTGGTTCTTTTAGAACAAACTCCCCCTGGGGCTTCGGGCCAGCGCGCTGGCCACCCAGAACCACCCCTAGTTGCCCGGATGTTTGCATTTCTCGCTCTTACATAGCCTAAGATGGACCTCAAGACGCCTCCAAGACGGCTGCCAAGATGGCCCCAGGACAGACCAAGACGGACCCAAGATGCACCAAAGACGGCCCAAGATGGTCCAAGAGAGCCCCAGACGGCCCATGAAACGCCCAAAAGGCCCCTGAACGGCCCAAGAAGCCTCCAAGAAGTCCTCCAGGCCGGCCCGATGAGGCCAACATCGTTGATTTTCCTTTGGCTTTTGGAAGGGTTTGGGCATTTGCTTCAAAACGGCCTCCCGATGGCCCAAGACAGCCCAAGAGGCCCCCAAGGTTGCCCCAAGATCGCCCAAGAGGCCGAGACACCCAAGACCCCGACGCGCCCCAAGAGGGCCCCAAGACAGCCCAATGAGGCTCCCAAGACAGCTTCCGACGGCGTTAGACGGGCCTGGAACGCCGTCAGACGGCCAAAGATGCCCCCAAGAAGCCCCACAGGCCCCCAAGAGGCCCCAGGAGGCCCCAAGAGGCCCCCAGGAAGCCCCCAGGAGGCCCCAATAATGACCCCATAAGCTCCCAAGAAGTCTCCTCATCCTTTTCCTCATCCTCCTTTTCCTCCATCTCCTCATGCTCCTCTGACTCTCCCACGTGTTCCCCGAAGGGCTTCCACAACAGCTGGGGGAATGGATGGTCCGATGGCGTGGCTAAACTCTGCCCAAGCGCTTGGCCACAGCGGCGCCCTTCAAAAAGGCAGGGGGCGGCGAGGAATTCGCCGCAGGCGCCTTCGATCCGCCGCCCCCATGTGGTCTTGCGGGTGCCCGGCGTGCTGAATTTCAGGTGGTCTTTAAGTCTTTTCAGAACTCCCTCTCGGGATTCGGCCGACTGCGCTGGCCGCCCGGAAGGCTTGCCCGGGTGCGTCTCCCGTCTGCGTTTCCGCTCAAGATGGCCTCCGAGACGGCCAAGATGGCCTCCTGGACGGCCAAGATGGCCCCAAGCGCGCCGAAGATAGGCCCACGATGGCTTCCAAGATGGCGCGAAGATGCCTCCAAGACCGCTCAGATGATCCAAGACGGCCCAAGAAGAGTTCAAGAGGCCTCCAAGACGGCCTTAAGGCCTCTAAGGGGTCCTCCAGGAAAGCCCGAAGAGGCCAACATCATTGATTTTCCTTTTTGGTTGTTTGGATTGGTTTTGGCATTCGGCCTCCCGACGGCCCAAGAGGCCTCCAAGGTTGCCCCAAGATCGCCCAAGAGGCCTCTAAGATGGCCCTATGACGGTCCAAGAGGCCCCCAAGGCGGCCCCAAGAGAGCCCAAAGAGGCCTCCGAGACACCCAAGATGGTCTTCAACGCGACCCCGACGCGCCCCAAGAGGGCCCCAAGACGGCCCAATGAGGCTCCCAAGACAGCTTCCGACGGCGTCAGACGGGCCAGGAACGCCGTTACACGGCCAAATAGGCCCCCAAGAAGCCCCCACAGGCCCCCAAGAGGCCCCCAGGAAGCTCCCCAAGAACGACCCCATAAGCTCCCAAGAGGTCTCCTCATCCTTTGCCTCATCCTCATTTTTCCTCCCTCTCCTCTGCCTCCTCTTCCTCCCCCACGTGTTCCCCGAAGGGCTTCCACAAGAGGCCAACATCATTGATTTGCCTTGGGTTTTTGAAGGGTTTGGCATTCGGCCTTCCGGCGGCCCAAGACAGCCCAAGAGCCTCCCAAGATCGCCCATGAGGCCTCCAAGCTGGCCCCATGACGGTCCAAGAGGCCCCTAAGGCGGCCCCAAGAGAGCCCCAAGATGGCCCAAGAGGCAGGCCTCCGAGACACCCAAGATGGCCTTCAAGACGACCCCGACGTGCCCCAAGAGGGCCCCAAGACGACCCAGAGAAGGTCCCAAGACAACTTCCGACGGCGTCAGACGGGCCTGGAACGCCGTCAGACGGCCAAAGAGGCCCCCAAGAAGCCCCCACAGGCCCCCAAGAAGCCCAAGGAGGCCCCCAGGAGGCCCAAGGAGCCCCCCAGGAAGCTCCCAGGAGGCCCCAAGAATGACCCCAAAAGCTCCCAAGAGTTCTCCTCATCCTTCTCCTCATCCTCCTTCTCCTCCCTCTCCTCTGCCTCCTCTTCCTCCCCCACGTGCTCCCCGAAGGGCTTCCACAACGGCTAGGGGGAACGGATGGTCCGATAGCGTGGCCAAACTTGCCAAACAGTTTGGCCACATACGCGTGTCCTGGAGGCACGGGGCGGCAGCGATCCGCCGTGGGAGTCTTCGACAGTGGCGGCACTGTGCTCCGTCTGTTCCCTTCAGTCTCAAGGTGCACTTCGAGCCGTTCTGGGATCATCGTCGGCCTGCTTTCGTGCGCTCCCTGGCTTTCTCGCGGCACTCCCAAGGCCTCCTGGTCTCCCTTCGGGGTCGGCGAAACCAGCTGTAATGCCTCTCAAGAGTGTGTCTAATTAGGTGGAACTTGGGACACATCGTTGATGCATATTGGGCTTTCTCTGGTCGTCCTCCTCCCCATCCTCCTCCACTCACACTGCCCCTGCTCCTGTTGGCCATCTTGCTCCCAGAAATGCGGTGAGAAGAGGACCGGAGGGAATCGGTGGTGTTGGGGCGAGGGGTGTGTTGATCGCCCGTGGCAAGGTTTATAATTTGACAGCCTTCGCTGGCTGCCCCTCGAACATGACCTGCCCCGCGTTGATGGCGTTGCAGGCTGCCACTGCGCTCGAGGCCTTCTCGAACCGCACCCAGGGTGGCTCCTGACAGAGTCATACCGCAACCTTCCTCCCGAGCCCTCCCCATTCCCTCTCCATCCGCGTCCTCCACCATCGCCTCCATCTCCCTCTCCCCCCAGTCATCCTCCCTTTTTCCCCCATTCTTCATGACGTGATTCTGGATGAGGTGAAGAGGATTTGGACGCCTGAAATCGGTACGGAAAGAATGGGCACAATGCTCAACAACAAATGTTGTCCCAAACCAACAGCGGCCGCTGTTGGGCAGGCGGCCTTCTGTCTCAAATGGACACAGGCCGCGGCGACACCGACAGCGAGTCCTGTTCAGAATGAACAGGAACTGCTGTTGGGCAGTGTACCCATTCTTTCCGTTCCCATTCCGGGCGTCCAAAGAGGATGGGAGGATTTTTTGAGCTTCACGCCCGGCTCCTCCAAAGGCAAACGTGGCAGACGCCAGCCGCAACGGCGGGAGGTGAGTCAGGAGGGCAGGGCATGGAGGAGCAGGAGGTGGACCCAGAACTTCCCCGCTCTTCCCGCGCTCTCCACTCCCTTCCCACACCTCCGATTCCATTCTTCCATCCTCCCTTTCTCCCTTCCCACTCTTCCACTCCTTCCTCCCTTCCCACTCGTCCATCCTTCCAAGGACCCATCGACCCGACGTCACAACAAGAACCGTGGCAATCATGAGGGGTACGCCGCACCACCCGTCCCACTCCCATCCTCCCGCTCTCAAAACCCTTCCTCCTCAGAGTCCGAGGGAGACGGTGAGGAGAGAGAGCAAGAGAGAAGGACAAGAAGAGGCAGGGGAAGGACGAGGATGACAAGAAAGAGGAGGGGACCACCAGTTTCGATGAAGGGGGGGGAGGAGGAACATGACGAGAAGGAGAACAGTGAGGACCAGAAGGATCAGGAGGAGGATCGTCATAATCAGGAGGATGGGTACCAGGAGGAGAACCAGAAGGATTGGGAGGAGAAGAAGGAGGCCAGTAGGGTGCATTGGGAGGCCCGCCACGGCTCCGCGGTGGGATCGTGCCGGTTGCCCATGAACACGACCTTGGGACCACCTCCCTCGATCCACGCTGATCCGACCTCCGATCCAGATCTTCTCATCTTCCCTTCGTCCCATCCTTTGCTTTCCTCCCTCCCCCTATTCCACAGATTCCCCCCTGTCCCCCGCCCCCGCCCTGACACTCCAGTCAGCGGGTCGGCCTGGCCTGGAAGCAGTACGCCGATCGGAGACCCGAGCGGCCGCTCCGAACCCGGTCGACGACCAACGAGTTAGAATCACGATCCTCCTGCTACTCCTCCTCACCTTTCTCATCCTCCTGCCGCTCTTCCTTTTCAAGGAACGGTGAGAGGCAGGAGGGTCTGGATATCTAAATAGCGCAGATCGACAGCCCCGATCTGGGATCCACGAGCGATCCACGAGCGAACCCATCATCCGTGCAGCATATGGGCCCGCCGCGTAGATGACGGGTTCGGTCGCAGATCGTAGCTGCTCGTGGTTCGCGGGTCGTGGGTCGATGAATTTATCGAGGACTCGATCCATCAACCGATCGCTCCGCTGCTGCGCTCAGCCCTCACGACAGGAAGCCGTGGAGCCCACACGTGCAACGAGTACTCGTGCACGGGAGGGGAGGAGGCAGAGGGGTGAAAGGGACGCAGACACACCATGACCCTCCTCCTCCTCCTCCTCCTCCTCCTCCTCCCTTTCCTCCTCCTCCCTTTCCTCCTCCTCCTCCTCCTCCTCCTCCGCCTTCGCCTACGCAATCAAGTGCGCGGCGTCGACGGCGCCGAACTGCTGCATGTCGGTCTTGAGACTCAGCCGGCTCCGCACCACTCCTCCGACGATCTGGAGGGCGCGGCTCCTGGCGGCGGAGTCCAGCCTGGGGGCCAAGGCGGTCTCTGGTTTATAGAGGACCTCTGCAAATAGGATCTCGGGAAGGGGCCCGAAGAAGGCAGAGGGAGAGGGGAGAGGGAGCAGAGGGAGGGGAAGTGTGTGTGTGTGTGTGTGTGTCCGTGTGTGTGTGTGTGTGTGTGTGTGTGTGTGAATGTGTGTGTGTGTGTGTGAATGTGTGTGTGTGTGTGTGAATGTGTGTGTGTGTGAATGTGTGTGTGTGTGTGAATGTGTGTGTGTGTGAATGTGTGTGTGTGTGTGTGTGTGTGTGTGTGTGTGCGTCCGTAGTTTTAGCTCACGCCGCTCTGGCTGGAGGTCCGCCGAGCTGGCCGCGCGCATGGCGGGCGCTGGGAGGGGGGCGTCTCCCCAGGCGCCCCCCCTCCCAGCGCCCGCCCCCGCGCCATGTCCTCGATCCCTGGCGGGCCGTCGGACAGGCGCAAGTTCGGCCCTGACACGGACGAGGACGAGAGCCTCTGCGAGGACAGGCTGGAGGAGCAGAAGGGCTTGTACATGCGCAAGTTCGGCTCTATCTGGACGAGGAAGAGCGCCTCTGCGAGGACGCCTGCACAAGCGCCAGCTCGGCCTGGACTTGGACGGCGACGAGAGCCTCTGCGAGGACAGGCTGGAGAACCTGAACAGGGCCCGTACGACCTCCAATTTGGCCTGGACCTGGACGGTGACGAGAGCCTTTGCGAGGACAGGCTGGAGGACTTGAAGGGCCTGCACAAGCGCAAGATCGGCCTGGACCTGGACGGTGACGAGAGCCTCGGCAACTACAGGCTGAAGGATCTGAAGGGCCTGTACGAGCGCAAGTTTGGCCTGGACCTGGACGGTGACGAGAGCCTCGGCGACTGCCGGCTGAAGGATCTGAAGGGCCTGTCCGGGCGCAAGCTGGGCCTGGACCTGGACCTGGACCTGGACGGTGACGAGAGCCTCTGCGAGAACAGGCTGGAGAACCCGAACGGGGCCCGGTACGAGCGCGAGGCCGGCCTGGACCTGGACGAGGACGGGGGCCTCTGCGAGGGCAGGCTGGAGGACTGGACGGGCCCCGCCTGGTGCAGCGTCGACGCGGACCTGGGGACGGGGGCCTCTGCGAGGGCGGGCGCTGGAGAGCCTGAGCAGGGCCGATGCCCCGTGCAGGCGCCCATCCTGGCCTGGGCCTGGACTGGGGCGAGCGCGGGGGAGAGGGAGGGAGGGAGGGAGGAGGGAGGGAGGGAGGGGGGAAAAGGGGGGAAGGGGGGGGGGGGGGAGGAGGGAGGGAGGCGAGGGAGGGAGGGTTTAGGGAGGAGTAGGAGGAGGAGGAGGAGGAGGAGCGAGAGGAGGAGGAGGAGGTGGCAGGGGGAGAGAGGAGGAGGAGGAGGAGGGAGGAGGAGGAGGAGGAGGAGGAGGAGGAGGAGGAGGAGGAGGAGGAGGAAGAGGAGGAGGAGAAGGAGGAGGAGGAGGAGGCGAGACCGCTCTGGAGCAAGCTACCGAGGTGGAGCCAGGAGAGGACGGGCCAGAGCCCGCTTTTCTGGAAGTCGCGTCGGACACGCGAGGGCGACTAGGTACGGGCATGCGCAGGCCGCGGGGCTGAGCTTCTGCGGCAAGACCTGCATGGCCCACGCCAGGATATCTACACACCCCTTGTCTCTCCTCCCTCTCGGACGCCAGCGCATGACGGATGACGATGAAGAGGGTGCACGGTGGGGGCGCCGCTGGGAGAGATTCTGGAGGGGGCGCTCACAAGAATCCCAACGACGACGCCCACGGACAGGCCCGGAGCCCAGCTCATGAAACTTCGCCCAGGGCGCTGCCGCGTCGCGGTCCCCCCTGGGCATTTCTCGATCGTCATCCCACGTGACTGGGGGAGGGCGCTTCCTCGCGCCGACTCCCGTGGCCGCAACTAGAAGAAGAACAAAAAGGCATGAACATAGACTTTCAGCGCTCTGCGCAGATTTCTCGAATCTGCGCTGCCCCCCCCTTGGCGCGCGGAGCACGCCGGGGGCGACGCCGAATGCGCCGCCAGGGCGGGACCCAGGCGCGGATCCAAGAGAACCGCGCGGAGCGCCAAAAGTTTATGTCTATGGCGTTTCTTCTTCTCGGGTCGGGCAAAAGGGGGGGATAGCAAAGGGGGGGGTTGAGAATCAGCTCGCGTAGCTGACATTCCCGGCGCCTCCCGGCGCCAGAGGCGACTATGTATCGAGGAATGGGCCCCTCGGCGGAGCCGAAACCAGCTGCATGCAGCAAATTTCGTAACCCCCCCTTTCCCAATCCCCCCCTTTCGTCCAGCCCGATCTTCTTCGACCGTAGCAATCCAGCCACCAACCACGGGCCGCAAGACTGCAGCCGTGGCACGGACGGCCGGGAAGGTAAGTCAGTGAGGCAGCCACACGTCCGGATGAGCCCGTTGTCCACCACCACTACCAGAGGTAGGAGAGGGAGGAGGAGGAGGAGGAGGAGGAGGAGGAGGAGGAGGAGGAGGAGGAGGAGGAGGAGGATGAGGAGGGCGACCTCCTCATCCTCCCTTCTCCCCCATCATACCTGTGGCAGTGGTGGTGGACAGCTTGCCCATTGTGTCCGCCAGAGGGCAGCAGTTCAAGACGGCGGGGGAACTCTCGCTCCCTTCGCGTGTGCTCGGCGGCGCGCGCACGCTGAAAAAAATGAGTCTAAACACACGGGGCCGGCCTCGAGTCGGCACCATGCCTCCTTCAGGAACCTCCTCCTCCTCCTCCTCCTCCTCCTTCCTCCTCCTCCCCACGCCACCTCCTCCTCCTCCTCCTCCCCCGCCACCTCCTCCTCCTCCTCCCTCCCTCCCTCCCTTCCTCCCTCTGTCTTTGCTCTGTCGGTGGAGGGGGGGTGGGAGAGATAGGAGAGGAACAAACAGTGGCACAAACATCAGAAGAACTCGGACGTCCCCGCGGATTTCCCGGAGAGCGGCGCTGGACCCCCCCCTGGCGGGTGCAGCGCTCCAGGGGCGGCGCCGGAGGCGCTGCCGTGGACCTCCAAGTTGTTTCGGGTGTGGACAGAAACCCCAGCCTGACACGTCGATTACTGAATTGTCCGTCTTCGGTTTTCGAGAGGGCGCCGTGGCCATCATTTTCCAGGCTTGCGCCCGCCCGATTTGGGCCCGAGGTCGTTTTCACTAAACCACGTTTTGCTACAGAGGATTCTGTCCATCCCTGGATGTTCCCCACCTGAGGGGTTGGGGCCGTTAGGTTTAAGAACAGACCTCCCGGCCCGCCCACCCTGCTTACCGCGGCCGTCAGATCCCCAGGTCCACCGAGAGCCCCCCGAGGCCCCCGCCTCGCGACGACCCGCCCACTCTGCATATCGCGGCCGCCAGATCCCCAGGTTCACCGAGAATCCCCCAAGACCCCCGCCTCCTCCCTTCGACGAGCCCAACAGAACTTAACAGAACTGAGCATGGCCCCACACAGTATACAGTCAACCCGCATAGTAAGGGTGGGCAACCTTCCCAAGGGTACCCTTGCATCCTGCCCCTTCGGGCCATCCTTGGCTTCTTTCGCTGTCCGCGCCGCGCTTGCAAGATGTCGGCATGGCCTACCAAGGCCCTTGCACCCTTACCGTGCATCCTTGTTATACGGGTTGACTATAGCATGACTGAAAATAGCACAGCATAACATAGCATAGCATGTATGACCATGAAAATGCATACCAAACCTAACAGGGCATCACACATCGCCACAACACATATCATTGCACTTAATGACACAGCATCTCATAACAGAGCGCGCAATAACGTAGTACATACTAGCCGGCCGCTCTGCGGTTGATCGGGAGTTTCTGTATATAGAAGAAGGTGCGTGCGCCTGTTGGCGAGGGTGAGGATGAGGTTCCTCCTCCTCCTCCTCCGCCTCCTCCTCCTCCTCCTCCTCCTCCTCCATCCTTCTCTTGCCTCCGTCT